ATCATGTTCTCCACAAACATAGTGTGGTTGCCTTCTGGAATGTCAGTAGAAGAAAATTTGCAACTCAATGTCATTCTTCAGAGTATCTTTTTTTTTTTCTTTCAGTGCAATAAGGGAAGAAAATTAAGCAGATTCTGATTTTGGCCTTAGATAATGAATTTGTAATAATTTTTGAAGGGAATTACAACTCTGTTGTAAAACTTGACTGAATGGAGGGAATTGAAAGATTCTCTTGGTTGGTTTTAGGTTGATTTCGATTTTGTTGAATAAAAATAAGAAGTATACATCTTTCTAAGGAGAGGAAGCCTTGTGTACCTATCCAGATTTGTCTCTCTTTTAACTTGTCCACCCTCACTATGACTGTCACTCCTTGTATTCTGTGTGGTATCATGCACATAGCTTTAAACTCCCAGTAGACAGGCAAGAGTTCATTGCCTGTTTGTGCTAATGAAAGAAGGTCATTACTCTGCCCAATGAACGTTCTTTTTGTTTAATCTTCAAATCTTTAGTAAAAATCCTAAGTGAATTTTCAATATGTTTGTAATTGAACATACTTCATGCATTTAATATAACACACTATTTTCTATATCAACAGTCCCTAGTGTATTAAGATGTATATTAACCATGTTCTCATGACTTGGAAAAATTGTAAACTTTTTACAAGAAATTGAAATAATGTTATTCTTGTTTTTATATTTAAAGTCAAAAATAATTGAGTTTTGGTAGGTGAGGGTATATAGCTCAGTGGTAGAGTGCATGCCTAGCATGCACTAGGTCCTGGGTTCAAGCCCCAGTACTTCCATTAAATAAATAGATGAATAAACCTAATTACCTCTTCTCCCCAAAAAAGATTAATTTTAAAAATAATAAATAATAAATTTTGGGAAAAAAATTGAGTTTCATTATTTTGAAGTTTTATTAGGCACTTAAAAGTTCGTGGTTATGATGTTTTCTTGGCATCATATGATGTACATTTTATCAATAAAACTGCCTTTCTGTGCTCCGTCTGAGGCATTTGAATGGTATTTTGTCTGATACTGCCTTTTGTTTGATACTGTGTTCTTTTTTTTGTATGTATTTGTATTCTGTAATTTCTTTACATTCTTTTTTGACTTTTCATTTTGTTTTATGTCATGCCTTATAGGTAGCATGTAGTTGTTTTTTATTTTAAATAGTTTGAAAATTTTTATAATAGGGAGAATTCACCTATTCACGTTTATTGTTATTATTGATCTGTTTAATGATTCCTGCCATATGTACTTTGCTATTTTGTTTCTTCCTTTACCTTCCCCTCCTTGCTTTTTGTTGTATTGATCATCTCGCCCACTTTGGGGTTTATTTGTAGTGGTAAGGAAGTTGTACACTTCTATTTCTGTTCTAGCATTCAACCTTAAATGCTAATTTAGTTAGGTATAAGATTTTAACTTCAAGATAGTCTTTCTTCAGAACTTTGAAGTTGTTAACTTGTTTTTTAATACCTAGTGTTGGTGACAGTCTGACCCAGTTTGGTTCTTTTTCCTTTGTAGGTAATCTGTTTTTTCTACTAAAAACTTTTAGAATTTTTGTTGTGAAATTTCACCATGATGTGTCTAAAAATATGTGTCATTTTTTTTCAACTCCAGGAATTTTTCTAATATTTTTTTAAACCCTCTTTTCTGTGCCTTTCCTTGTAAACTTCAGATAGATAGATGTTGGAACTTTGGGATTTATACTCCATATCATCTAACTTTTCCTCCAAACTTCTCGCCTCCCTGTCCTCTGTTCTTACTGCATTCTGGCTGACCTCCTTGGTTCTACCTTCTACTTGTTAATTTCCTCCTCAGTTATGCCCGTTCCAGTATACAGTCCATCCACTGAGTTCATTGTAATAATTCTTTTGAATTTTCAAGATGTCTAATTAGTGCTCTTTAAAAACCCTTTTTTAAAGTGACTGTGATAACCACTCATTCCTCTGATGTTAAATTTTGTTTTGCTTGGTTTATCCTGGTTTCCGGAATACTAGCTTTTTATTTGAATCAGGTGCCTCTCTTTTATGATATTAAGTTTCCTTTATGTTAGCAGTTCTCAAGACCATGGTCTCTTGGAAGATAGCCAAGGTATGCTTGTCAGTCGTCTCTTGGGTGGAGGGGATCCTCACTCCTGTATGACACAGCCCTGCTCCACTCTGACTTCTCTTTCTCTTAGTGGAGTGGGAGGACTGATGAGGTTGCTTCAAGTGCAGTTTTCCAGCAGTTAACTTGATAGTGGCCCTCGAATACACAACTACATGAGAGTCCTAGTCATCTTGTATTATGAATGTTTTGTGCCAGGGACTTTTACTGTCAAAGTTTTTGGAAGGTAATTAAAACTTTTTGGAAGGTGATTAAAGCTTTATACAAATGGAAGATTTTATATTCATCTGTTACTTTATTTGTGTTTTATTTGGTTCTTTACATCCTCCCACATCTTAGTTTTTAAATGTGCATATTTCTTATTGACATTAGTTAGCTTAAACTAGCTATTTAATATTCTGAACTTAGAGTTTCCCACACATCATTCTTTTTAAAATAACTGTAGCTACATTCAGGCTAAAGGGGAGGGGAAACAACAGGTAAATGGAGGAAAACAGCAGCAAAGAAAAATGAAGGAAAAGTAAGGGAGAAAAGAGAAGATACAAAAAGTTGCTATCCGGTCTTCTCTTTGTGACTGAGATGGCCTGGGCCCCAACCAACATAGCTTTCACAGTCTCTGTAAGTTACTTCTGGGGGCAGCTACTTCTATTTTTGCTTTGTCAGTGCTTACCTGTTGGAGAGATACGGGTTCTTTCATAATCACATATTTGTTAAAATTGAATGATGTTAACAGACAAAAGTTTTGGGTGAAGATGTGCCACACAGCTCTTGGACTTAGCGGAAACCTAGATAACTGGATTTGTCTACAGAGATGCTTCCCAAATGTTGAATAAAGCTTTTGCAACTGTCCTCAGTGGAAATTAACTACCAACTCAGTGAGTTGGGTCCTCTTGGAAGCAGATTTTGAGACAAGGTAGGAGTGCAAAAAATTTATTGATGAGCAAACAGAAGATCTGGGGTAACAATTGTAATGAAGATGGCACAGTGCTTCTGGTATCTATTCTATACTGTTGACAAACAGTCTAATAGAAAAAGAGCAACACATGTGAATAAGTGATTTTCAGAGTGAAAAAGCCAACTGGCCAATAAACATGGAAAGATTTTCAAATTCATTTGTAGTGAGGAAAATGTGAATTAAAATGATATCAGAATATTACGTTGCACTGGGGTTTTTTAGCCTTGGCACTATTGATCCTTTGGATCTGATAAGTCATTGTTGTGGGGTGCTGTCCTGTGCAGTGTAGAATATTAGCAGCATTCCTGGTATCTACTTACTAGATACCAGTTGCACTTCCCCCTGACTCATAGTTGTCATAAACAAAAATGTCACCAGGCGTTGTGAAATGTACCCTACAGGGAAAATCATCCCTGATTGGGAACCACTGTTTTATATTCATTAGGACTGGATAGACAAGTTATCATATCTCTTGTTGACAGGAATAGTGGAAAAGTGGTACTTTTTTTGGAAAAGTCTGAGTGTTTTTCAACTCAAAAATATATAAGCTTTTTGGTTTAGCAATCCTATTACTAAGACTCTATCCCATGAAAATATTTATATGAGTGACCTGCATTGTGAACGGCCATTCTAGCCATTCTACCCTCCCATTATTTCTTCAGCTTGTCATTTAATCACTGTGATTTGAATCTATAACTGAAGTATTGGTAAGTGTTTCATAATTGTTTCCTCTCATTTCAGAACTCTCTTGATAGAGCCCAAGCAGCCAAGAACAAAGGCAACAAATACTTTAAAGCAGGAAAATATGAACAAGCTATTCAGTGCTATACTGAGGCTATCAGTTTGTGTCCTACAGAGAAGAACGTCGACCTTTCCACATTTTATCAAAACAGAGCTGCTGCCTTTGAGCAGTTGGTATGTATCCTAGGTTGGTTTTTTTCTGTTCTTTTTGTTTCTCTTTATTTGCATAATGTTTCAGTTAATGCCACTCAAATAAATCTAATAAACTCTTTGAAGTTGTTTTGAAATTAAAGGATTTTTGTTTTGTTTTTATATCCTTTAATTACTGAACTTTTTAAGAACAAATTTTAGTTTTGCTGATTACAAATATAACCCAAAGTTGTATATATCAGATATTATAAAATTAAATAAAACAAAGTTTAAGTTTCTGGTGACCTCATTCTTCTCAACAGTTTGAGTCTATTTCTTCAACTTTTGTATCCATATTTGTAACAGTAGCATATAGAAGGATAAAAGACCAAAGATGAATTCCTATTACGTTATAATATTTTTCAGTTGCTACTAAATCTTGTGTAGCTATTCATAGCACACACAGATCTGTTTCACTCTTTTTAAAGTCTGTATGTACTAGTTGTTTTATAGTGGAAAACATCTCCCTGTTGATTAACATTTGGATTGCTTCCTGTTTTCCCTGTTGCATTTAGTGTTGCAGTAAATATTTTTGTAAGTATTTTTTTGCATACTTTCAGGAAGATAGAATTCTAGAAATGGAAATATAAAGAGATAGTATCAACATCTACTCTAAATATATATGAGCATGCTTGTTTTCTGGTATCTCACTGACTATGTATATTATCAATCTTAATATTTGCCACTCTGGTAGAAAAATACTCTTATTGTTCTAATTTGCACTTTTTGAGATATTGGTGAAGTGGACCATCTTTTTCTGTGTTTATTGGACATTGGTATTTTCTGCATTTTTTGTTCAACCAAATTTTATTGACTGTCTCATATATGGAAGGCACTATAATAGGACCTAGGTCTATAAAAGCAAACAGTTATGCATAGAACTCAAGAATCTCTAAACAGTGAAATATTAAATGACACTTTGATAAATGCTTTGATTCTATAATAGAGGAATGACTGGGGTTGGTGCATAAAATAGAGGAGAATAGAGTGTTACAAATAGAGGATACAGTCTATGTAATTGCTCTGAGGCAGGAAAGAGTTTGGCATGATTAAAGAAGTATGTTTAAAGGACCCTGGGGCATAGAGAGATGAAGTTGGAGAGGTAGCAGGGGCCAGATCAGGCAAAGCCTTGCAATGGTAAGAAATTTGGATTTGATTCTGAGTGTAATGGGAACTATTTAAGGATTTTAAATAGGGCAGGAACATCATCTAAAATTGTTCCCACTGTTCTGTCAAGAATATATTGAGGGAGACAAGAGTGGAGGCAGGGAATAAGGAAGGATGTTGTAGTTATCTAGGTGAGACATGGAGGAAAGCTGAAGACCAACAGAACTTGCTGTTCATTGGATGTCAAGAGTGAGGAGAAGCAGGAGTTTTAATAGTAGTGGAGTGAAGGAGTGAGGCAACTAAGTAGACAGTTGAATTGAGAAATGTCGCTATTTTAGGAGAGTGGTTTGGGTTAAAGAGGAAATTTGGGAGTCATCTAGGTTTAGATATTATATACTACCAGGACAATAGATGTGATCCTAGGAGAGAAGGGATGAGTCCTTGAGCATTCCAGCATGTAGAAAGCAGGTAGAGGGGAGGCATCAGCTATGGAAATTGAGAAGGAGCAGTGAGGTAGGTAAAATCGAGTGGCAACTCCTTTGAGGTTTGGCAATAAAGAGGAGCTGAGAAACAGGATAATAACTTCAGGGAATTATGGAATCAAAGGAGGGTTTTTAAAAGATGGAAAATACTAAAGCAGGTGTTTTTATGCTCATTGTAATGATTCAGTAGAGAAGCAGTTTGATGCAGAGGCAGGGTAGCTAAGCAGTGAAGTCCTTGAAGTGGGGGGAGTGTGGATCCATATCACAAGTGGAGGGTTAGCCTTTAATGAAGAGGGTTGCTTCCTTAGTTTTCACAGAAGGAGATGGTATGATCATATAGATGCAGGTAGGTTTATAGATTTGGTGGTAGAAAGATGACTTAAGTATGTCCTTTACCTATTGTAAAAAAATCAGGTTGCTTCTCTCTACTACAGTTACTTATATGAGCTATTATAATGTATTGTGGGTATTAATTCTTTGTATGAATTGGGAATATTTTTTCCTTTTGTGGGACTCTTAATACTTGTTCTTTTAAGTTTAGAAAACTGATTCCTGTTGAACAGTGCTTCCTTTAGTGTGACTTTTTTTTAATACTTTCAATTACAGCAAAAATGGAAAGAGGTGGCACAAGATTGTACAAAGGCTGTTGAACTTAATCCCAAATATGTGAAAGCTCTCTTTAGACGTGCAAAAGCCCACGAGAAGCTAGACAATAAGAAGGAATGTTTAGAAGGTGAGGGTGTTTTTGTGTTTACATATGAAAGTTACTAAAGTCTGTGTATTCGTTGGTAAATTTATATGAAACTGCCTCTGAGTAGAGAAATCAGTTGTATTTAAGCTTGACTCTTCCCCAGTTGAGACTTTGTTTTCTAGTTTAAATTGAGATTGCTGATACTTGAGCACTGTCTCTGTTCCCAGCTATGGAATTAAATGATTTAGAGTTTGGAATTAAATGGTTTATATACCACACATTTTAAACTTGGCAATTAATGAGCATTGGTGTAATTTCCTGAATAAGAAATCAGAAAAGAAGTTTTAGTGATTGATACTGTTTCTAGGTTTCTGCATATTTTCAGTTAATATCCTATATAAATATGAAATAATTTTGAGGTAAATCATTAAAGAAAACATTTGTTTTTTGCTTTTGGCATTTTCAAACATTATTGTATACTCAATTAGGACTTATGTAATTGATACAAAGCATCAAGTGATTTTGCCATTCTCAGTAAATACTGTAAATGTTCCTTGGTCTCTAACTGGTTGTATCTGCTGCCAAAACTCAATTAGGGTATTGGCTACTTACTGGCTTTTAAAGTACATTCTTCTAGGTGATGTGGAGCTAAACCAAAATACGATTTCAACAGTCTAAACATGCTTTCTGCTGCATATTTAAATCTGCTTTAAAAGCATCAATAATCAGAAATTTATCTGTAATTATTTTAATAACATTATTATTTAAAAGGAAAAGGCTGTTTTATTTATTTATTTTTAAAAATCTGGATTACCAAGTGAGAGTGGTTTAGAGAATATTTTGGAGCATTTTAGAGAATAACAAAGAACATTATTGCACTTTGGTGGTGGGTGGAAGGAATGTTGCTTTGGAAAAGAGAATTCTGAGTTTTGAACCAGACCTTGAAATTATTAAGAGATAATTGCAGAGAGGAGTGTAAGTGGATTTTAGATAGGAGAAATGGGATGGGAAAAAGTCGTTGACATTGGCACTAGCCAGATGACCAGGGGAACAGACAGCAGACTGACTTGTTTGGAGGAGCAAGGATGTGAAATAGTGAGAAACTGAGTTCAGAAAGAGAGGGGACAGCCATTGTTGCGTACTTTGAATGAAAGGTTGAGCAGTTAAGGAAACACTGATCTTTTAAATTTCAAATCACTCTATATTGAGCTGTCGCATAGCCAGATTAAAATGGTATTTTGAAGCAGATTAAATTGAGAGCTCTGTGGCAGGATGTCTTTGGAGACAAGGCTTACTAACCCTAACCCTGAGGCATACAGAAAAAAAAAAAAAAAGACCAGACTTGAGAGAACCACATTATGTTGATTTGGCCTTTACTTACTGGTCAGAAGAGAATATTCCTGGATTACCTGTTTTATTTGCTGTGTACAATGCTAGAGTGGTGAGAAACATCACAAATCATGCAGTATAGTCTCTTTCATTTCACAAGTGAGGCAAGTGAATCCCAGAGAAGTGGGGTGACTTTTTGAACTTTGAGTTTGGTCATAGAGTGTATAAAACTATAGAGAATCAGTTTATTGGAAACTGTTAAGAATCAGTTTATTGGAAATGAAATTGACAGCCACATAAGGCTATGAATTTAGTCTGGCTTTCTGTGGTAACATTGAACCCATTTGATATTGCTAATCATCTCTGCAGTATTTTCACACTTTTGTTTTTTCCACCATTTCTAGATGTCACTGCTGTGTGTATATTAGAAGGTTTCCAAAATCAACAAAGCATGCTATTAGCTGATAAAGTTCTTAAACTTCTTGGAAAAGAGAAAGCCAAAGAAAAATACAAGGTAAATTAATCTGAGTTGGTTAATAGATGGAGGATACATTGTGAATGGTCATTTCTCATTTATACTGTTAAACTTGGGCATGATGGTAACAGGTTAAATTAGATCTGAATTATATTTATTTTTCCTGTAGTCTTGGGCTTTTGTGGCTTATCTTTTTAAAATGAGAATGTAGACTATGTCCAGTGTTGTACCTGGAGAATATTGAAAGAAGTCATGTGTATTAGAGGTTGCCAAACAGTGGCTTATGGGCCAAATCTAGTCTACCACATGTTTTTATAAATAACATCCCAATAATGTTTTATTGGAACTTAGCCATTCACATACTGTTTTTGGCTGCTTTTAAGCTACAACAGCAGAGTGGAGTGGTTGTGACAGAGACTGTATGGCATATCTGAGCTTTTACAGAAAAAATCTGCCAGCCCATGTCCATTAAAGTTTTAAAAGGCATACTGTATAAACTGGCATTGGTTTTACATAGCTAGTAGTAGGTGGTTTAATTCAAGAAGGATTTATTGAACATAGCTCCAAAGTGGGCATTTTAGAAGGGTGAGTACAAAGACATAGTCCTTGCCCTTAAAGAATTACAGTTTAATGAGAAAGACATTAGTAAGTGTAAAAGGCATAATACAGTGAAGTGTCATGGAGGGATATAAGTAGAGGGCTGTGGGAGTACCACAGGCATCACTAAACATCACTAGAGATTTTCTGTTAAATTTTATAGTATTAAGGCAATTGTTCCTTTTTTCTTTAATAATAACTTGCTTTTCTCTTAAATAGATTTTAATAGTATCTTTGTATTTTTAATTTTACATTTCTGAATATTAGCTGAGTTAAACAGTTAAAACAGGTTTCTTCACTGCAGGACTTTGATGTGCTAGTATGTGTTGTGAATCTCAAAGAGGAATATAGCTATACTGGTTCTCAGTCTCTAACTACGGAAACTTTTTTCTTCCCTTCAGCATCTTAGAGAACTGGTGCTCCTCAAAACATTTTGCAAAATATCATGTTAGAATCTCACAAATTGAACCTTTAAGAAACCTAGTTTCCTCGTGTATACTTACGCAGTGCTATTGTTGGGTAATTATACTGGTTTGACTGCAGAGTAGTAAGTATACGATAACCTACATTTACATAGATTCCAAATTAGTTTCCACATATATTTTCTAGTCTGTTTGTATTCCACTTTGTAATTTGCAAGATACTTTCCATTTTATTTTTATTTTTATAATAACCCTATAAGATGAATAATGCCATTATTTTTATTGCTGTTTTAGAGATGAGAAAACTGAGAGTGACATGTGCAAGGTCACTTAGGTAATAAGTGGCAGAGCTAGAATTTGTATCTTGTTCCTTTGATGCTTAAGTCCATTACTTGTAAAATATTGTTTTCATTTTAAATTAATATGTAACTCTGTGTGAAAGGGAAGTGGTAGCTTCATTTCTAAGCTGAAATAGGAAACTTAAAGACATTAATGATTTACTCAGCTTCAGTAAGTGCTATTTAAATTTCTATTTAAACTTTTTCCCTGAAGTGGTAAATGATTGCCATTTATATATTCCTACTCAGAGTCTTTAGTGAAATACTTAAAATTAGGCATATTTCTATCAGTTGGTGGGTGATTATTTGATTTAAAATAGTTTTTATTTATATAATCCTTATTTAAGACACATTGAATCTTTTCTCAGGGAGAGCACAAAAATATGGGTTTTCTGTTAGGGTTCCTATTCTGTTTTCTTCTTTTCCAGTTTCATCTATCTTAGAGTAGATCATTTACTTACAAAGCCAGATTCCCTTATTTTTCCCTCCTTCAAATACAAAGACATTAAATCTACCAAAATAATAGAATGGGTATTTGTTATACATATAACTTAGAATATCATATTTCCATTCTAAAATCTTTGGGGTGAATTTTGTAGATAAAGGATCCAAAATATGTTATGAGAGCCCTTTGGCTATGTTAGTCCCTCTTCCCTCTTCCTTTAAAACTTTATCATCTTAAATATAATAAGGAGAAACAAAATACTTCTACAATTACGAATCAGGTTGCCATGTGAAAAAGTAGTAATTAAAACAGGAAATGTGATTTTATTCTGACTTTCAGTGGCATTTACTGTAATGGAGATCTTCAGTTGCAAGACAAGTTGAGGACAAATGAAAGCCTGTGGTAAATGGACTTAACATTTTAGCACCTGTGTAAGACATGGTCTTGAGTAGTAAATGGAGATGGTCCTCTTCTAGGACGGGAACCAGAAGGAGATAACATAGCAGTTACCTGCCTCCTGTGTTCCAGATTTCACCTTCTTTTAGTGAGTGGTTCTAAGAGTCCTTGACATTTTTCATCTCTGGAGAGGGGAAAGGCTCTCATTTAAAACCTACTTTGAACAGCTGGGACTGGCAGCTTTACCATTTCCTATTTCCCTATGGTTTGGAGCCTGATATTCTTCAGTTATTTGAAAATGAGATTCTCATTTTTTTATGACAGTGGTTCTCAGTGGTCTACAAATGTACCTGCTTCTTTGGTTAGTGTTTTCTATTTTGATATGTTTAAATATGATTAAATTACAGAATCGTGAACCTCTGATGCCATCTCCGCAGTTTATCAAATCTTACTTCAGTTCTTTCACGGATGATATAATTTCTCAGCCAATGCTTAAAGGAGAGAAGTCTGATGAAGATAAAGACAAGGAAGGGGAGGCTCTAGAAGTGAAAGAAAAGTAAGTGTGTTGAGCATGGTATCTGCTTAATGTTTTGGGGGAGGGGGGTATAGTGGGAGTTTTTTGCTGCCATAGAGCCAGAGTGGGACTCTTAGTCATCTCCCAAAAAATCTATTCATAGGTAGATATAAATATAATAAAATTATATAATAATGATATAGTAATAAAAATACTTCTTTTCTCACACATGTCTATTACACCAGAGAGTTACGTCTCTGGCGACTCAAGGTTTTACTGCCAAGAGTCTGCCCTGCTTTTAAGGTCCCACGTGGTATTCCCAAGAGGACTCCCAGTGAGTCAAGCGATTGATTGTATTTGAATAGGGGCACTAACTTAAAAATGATTGTGTAGCTCAATATCCAGATGTCTTAGTGCAAGGAAGTTCATAATTTCTAGTTTTTAGGAGTGCTGAAAAGGGTGCCTGTC